AAGTTGAGCTGTGGCGCTGTATGAGACAATAAACTCTTGCAGCCATTTTTTAAACTATAACTAAGAGTAGAAATTCATTTTTTAATCGAAGTCTTCCTTGGCGTCGCCGTCGTGGTTTCTTAAAGTCCCTAATTTATTCGTTTTATGCAACGGCGGTCACGCAATCAGGAAGGACCGTGACGTGACGTGTGACGATCAATAACCGGTCGTGTGACAGTCTCATGCAAAGGTTAAGAACGGAAAAATGGTACATATTACATTGGCAAGTTTTGCTGTATAAAGGTGTCCACATTTGAACTGGACACCTTTTAGTTTAGACTTAGTTTGACGATATGCGACTTATCACCCCATCCATGTGTCGCCATTGTTCATTAGAATAACTCGTTACATAACTTGAATTACCTTGAGTATTGTAAGAAATTTGACAATCACTGAGTGAACCTACGTACTTTTAATACAAGAGGTTTCAACAAAACCTGAATCAGACCGGATCTGTCCATTCGTTCGCAGTGATAACCTATCCGTTCGGCCTATATGGCAATCTTTTTTTTTATGAGCTGTTCGAAATTAATCGTAAACCTGTTCATCCGTCTATGTCAACCCGTTCGTAAATTTTCACAAGCCGTTCTTTTGTTTGCGTGACCCGTTCGATAATAATTTTCGGAAGCCGTTCAGTCGTTTGCGTGACGTGAGCCGTTCGAAAATCTTGACAAGCCGTTCAATCGTGTGGGTAACCCGTTCGAAAATTTACACAAGCCGTTCGGAATACTTGATAACCCGTTCAGCTATTCGATAGTATCCGTTCGAACGGATGAGTTACCCGTTTGTTACCCGTTTGTTACCCGTTTGGTAGCCATACGTTTCACCCGTTTAACGGAAAGCCGTTAGTGTAGGTTTTTCCGTGAGAGGTCACACTTTTCAAGTCAATAGTTACCCTCCAATCTTTGTCGTTGCCCTAAACCATCTTCAGGTTTTTCTCTACATGTAATAGCAAAAGTGCTCCAGTTATTAGACGAAATCCGTGACGTTAAAAAATTGCTCAAAATATGTCACAACAACGCATATTGAATCAAGAGCTAGCGGAGTTGTTAAACGAAACATGCCACGTCGTTGGATGCATACAGGAA